CATCATCTTTTTTGTTCCATTCGCTATTTCGGCTACAAGTTTCTCTTTCCAGTAAAGTTACTGAAGTTTTTGGGCATTCTTTCTTGGCGCTGTTCAGCATAGGGGAGACAGTTTGCACTTTCACTATTCTCTTTTTTAGTTCTTGTAAACTTACAAGTCTCCCCTTGGTGAGATCTGTAAAGTTTTGCGAAACTCCGAAATGGTACAAATGAGCGTGGCAGTTCGGCGAAGAGGGGGGGGGGGGTGGAGCATTTTGCACTTTCGCTGCTTTCCATAATTGTGCCCACCCATTTGGAGAGCCTTTTCTTGAGTTGACAAGTTTTACAGGAGTAGGTGGTGGCTCGCCGACCTGCTCCAGCTTCACAAGAGTTCACAGGTTTCACCAGAGTGGGACTGGTAAACCGGAACTAGTGAAGCAGCGAATGCGAAGTGGTCACAAGCTCTTTTCACGATAGCCTGTATTTGCTTCACTGATTGTTGCTCGATCAAACCGATTTCGCCTTCATTCCTTATGGCAGTGGAGAATTTGCGCAAGGAAAATTACACGTATCGATCTGCAAAATTGGAGCACCTGTGAAAAAAACCTAGTTAGCGATTAGTCTGCGTTTCTACGATCCTTCGGATCGATACGAATACTTCCTGTTTCTTCCCATCAACGTGTCGAGCCAACAAGTGCGGAACATGTGAAATGTTGTGAAGTCACGAAATGAAACCAGTAAAAGTTTATTAGAGACCACTGTCAACTCTTGTAAAGCAAAGAAATACCGTTAAAGATGGTGTTTTAAAGAGCTTCCTCCAGCTTCACAAGTGTTCACATGTTTCATTAAAGTTAGTCTTGTAAGTAAAGAAGCAGCAAAAGCACAAAATGACCCCCCTCTCCGCCAGAAGACGTCAGGCCAGATGGGGGGGGGGGGGCGAACCGCGCCGCCTGGCCTCACGTCTCCTCATGTGTGCTCTAGTTCCAATAAGACTCACAAGACGCATGAAAACTGTATCGACTAACATCTCGTCGTCCGTGCAAATTAGCCTCTTGTTTGTTGTCGGACAGACTTGTATTGGAAGACAAAACGGATGCGAGATTCAGTTCTTTTGATGTTCGGCGACCATTCGCGGATTTCGATTTCCATCCCGAGTCAGTAGCTGGCTCTCTTTTCTCAGGCTTCTCCTCTGCCCACCATTCGTACTTTGCCAGATACTTTGGCACTAGTCCAAGATACCGGGCCGTTTTGTGAAATCCTGTAAAGTCGTGTAAGGAATCCGGTATACGAAAAAAAACATGGAGGAAGCCCAAGTCGTGCACTTTTTAATAGTTTTGTATACAATTTTTAAATTGCACATGAAAACTTTGTTTGCTCAAATCAAGTACGCCTTAAAATGCTATTCCAAAAAATAAAGTTTGTTGATTAGATTCGTTACCGGGACAGAATTTTGAAGATTATTGCGATGCGGCATGCCGCTGCCACTCTGATATTGGACCGGTTTTCAAAGTTTCTAATGCTTTGCGATCCATCGGAAGAATATCACACCTGTCTGACTGTTCGATCCTTTCTTCCTTTTCTTTTTTGCAACTCTCGAGAAACCTTGGTGTTCCCAAAGCATTAGAAACTTTGAAAACCGGTCCAATATCAGAGTGGCATCGGCATGCCGCATCGCAATAAACTTCAAAATTTTTCCCGGTAACAAATTTAGTCAACCGACTTTATTTGTAGAATAGCATTTTAATCCGTTCTTGATTTTAGCAAAGAAAGTTCTCATGTGCAATTCAAAACTTGTCTGTGAAACTATTAAAAAGCGCGCGACTTGGGCTGTTCCAAGTTTTTTCCTTATTTGTAAGCTGACGTCGTGTTATGGGGAGATCACGTTCGCGCAGAATTGGAGTTCACTCCTGAGAGGTGTTTACTCCTTTTGGGAATAAGCAATGTACTTCATCAGCTGCCTCGCACTCGCACCGCCCAGCACTGGCTGCTGTCGAGCCGAAAAAATTGCAGAGTTGTCGTGAAAATGAAACCCGCATTTCGTGACTTCACAGGACTTTACAGAACTAAACCGGAGCGGACCAGAGTTTCCCACATTCGAAACTGTTTTTCCTCCTTGTCCCTGAAATGTGCAAACGTTAATTGCCGCCGCTCTTCATCGTCAGAAGAACGCTTTCCACGGATATCTTTTCTTTAGGTTGAGGGACAAGAAGTAATCACTAGACAATTTCTTCAATTTTCTTTTTATTTTTCTCGATTTTTTGGCGCTGTTTGGGACATTTTGTACTAACATTGCTTCCCTAGTTCCGGTTTACGAATCTCACCATGGTAAAACTTGTGAACCTTGTGAAGCTGGAGTAAGATCGTCTAGCCACCATCCTAAAACGTGTCAACTCGAGAAAAGGCTACCTAGATGGGTCGGCACATCTATGAAAAGCCGAATGCCCCCCGTCGACAAACTGCGCCGACTTTTTTATCGTTAATCATTTTCTCAACCTTGTCGCTTCGATCTTTCTGGTCTTCTTTGACCAAGGATAACTTGAATCGCATTGATGATAACTAAATGAAATCCCGTATTTACCCTCAGGGAGTGTCGTTAGCTATTGAAGTGATTTGAATTCCACCATCACTGCTAAATTACCCCGATACCGAGAATACTTTGAACGGCCCTCGTATAGTCTTGTCCGCTCCGGGAGATGGAGCGTGTCGGGGGGGGGGGTGGATTTGACGCGACGCCAATCCGTTCCCTTCTTTTCTCGTTCGGCGAGCGGCAAGGCTGTATCATGCCGTTCACAGCGGTCGTTTTCCACCAGCTGTAGTCACCCGCTTCAACAATTGGTGGAGAACGAGTCGACGACGCGCCGATCCCTGCCTCACTGACACGCCCTTTCATCCCAGCAAACTGCAGAAGAAGGAGTCGTAATTACCACCACAAAATGTATCGGTCGGTGTCAGGGCACGTGTGGCGTTGGGAAAATTTTTTATGCAAAATTCGATTCCCTTCCTCATAATTTCACCTTCTGGTATGATGCCCTCCTTCCGCGATCGCCCGTCCTGCCTTCGCCTTCCCGATGTCTTCCTAGTCCTGCACACTTCCTAAGAAGTTCCACTTTTTTTTCTACAGGAAACTGCAGACTCTGCGGCCGATAAAAGCGAGGGGTATACCCGCCGAGAAAGGGGAGGGGTATATATCACCCCCAATCTATATTTCTCTGAAGCAAATACAATCTCCCTCCCTCTACTGACAGGATACAATGCCTCGCTGAGACACCAAAGTACCACCACGCGGCCCGGTCGGTATACGTTTCGTTCGGGGCACCGTATGTTGAATTTCCCAGCGATGGGGGGGGGGGAGGCTCGTATTTTGTTGCTGTAGGGAAGAAGTTGTCTTTGCCTCCCAGAAAACCTCTTCCGAGACACGAACGAATGTTTTCGGTGGTCGACCATGTACGGGTTTTGCTGTTCCACTTGCACTGTACCGACAGAATTCTTGCGGGAGGGAGGAGATCGGGAAAAGTTTTGGGATCTGGCAAATATATGCAGGTAGGATGTGAATGGGGAAGGGGTCGCACAAGAAGCAGAACTTACGATGTCGTATTTTGCGAAAATTTTTCCCAGCTGCAGGACGCCCTGATCTCGTTCCTCACGACTGCTTCGGCATTCCACCTTCCTCTTGTTAGTGATAATATCGATCATCTTCGCGGCGTAATGCTTCCCTGGTCCGTAATGGTTTTTGTGAATTTATAATGTGGAATATAAAAAAGGCATAATCGCAATGTTTTGCTCGTGCTATGCTAAACGCTAGATGCGCCAAAACCCGTAGTTTTCATGTTTTAACCCGTCATCTTTGTGTAATGGTCATGTTTTGCTCTCATTACAAGTTTACTTGCAACTTTTTCGTACTATAAACACCTCCGTGGTGTAACATTCTTTTGAATCTTGTTGCATGTGATAATATTTCAAGTTGCATGTTGCATTCCTCGAGCATTTCCTCCGTTCTGTACTGGCATCTCGTTAGGGTAAAGGGGTAGCAGGAGTTAGGCTGCGTCCATATTTTGCAGCAGCGTCCACCTGCGTTTCGAGCGTCCTTCAGCGCTAGCGACTAGGAAAGTGTCTACACTTTCCTAGTCAATCTAGCGAACGGCAGCGTCCACCGTCGTCCACCAGCGACTAGCAGCGTCCACCGGCCTCCAGGAGTGAAGGAGTATGGGGAAGTAGGAGAGTAGCAGACAGCTAGATTTAGCTTCGTAACATTGCGGCATGTGCTGCTCACCATACTACTGCACAATGCCATACATTCAGTTGGTAATTCTGTGCTTTAGCACTGGTATAGTGCACCTGCACACGCCGCAGTTTTACGACACCTAATCCAGCTGTCTGCTCCCTCCTACCTCCTCACACCCGACCAACAGTCTGCTACCCTCCTACTTTCCCCTAGTCTACACTCCTGGACGCTGGTCGACGCTACTGCAAAGTATGAACGCATCCTCAAGTTGTTTCCACCCGATTTTTTACATTTTTCTTTGCACAACTATGCATTGTTGGCCCACTATTTGCTATTATCTTACTTTTCCTTTCTGTTGGACCCGGAGCGACATTGTCACTAACACTGGAGCAGCTTCAACGTCCGGGATAATTTATCAGAGTTTGCAGAGATCTCTGCCTTGATGCTGCCATGCTCGTTCCTTGAACCAGTCTTGCGAAAGCAGTTTCAAAGAACGAGCACGAATATCAAAGCATAATATCTTCGCCCATTTTTATCAACTATCCTGAACTGTAAAGCTACACCGATGTTCTGTTTGGGGGTCACCTTTCAGCCATAAATCTGGTTTGAGGTTCGACAGTTCCCTGGTCCCCGTTTCAGTAGTGTTTTCCCAAGCACCG